AACTTCTTCGCCGCGTCAATTTGCAGTTGCAGTCCCTCAGGGGTGTCCGACATACCGAACAAAATCATCCGCAAACAGGATTCCCGAAACCGAAGTTCCGTGCCCCCTACTTTTGCTCCCTTCCGGACTGCCTCTACGACTTCCAACAGATCGTTGATGAACACCTGGAACAATGTTGGGGACAGCGTGCAACCTTGTGGGACCCCCTGCTCAATGTCGAAGAATTTTGACAGTTCTCCGTCTAGCATGACCGCGCTTTTCGTACACTCTGTCATCTTCTTCAGCACTCTCCACATTTTCCCCTTGATCCCGTATTTGGACAGTTGTTTCCACAACCCATTTCTCCACACGGTGTCGNAATCTTCTTCAGCACTCTCCACATCATCTCCTTGATCCCGTACTTGGACAGTTGTTTCCACAGCCCATTTCTCCATACGGTATCGTATGCCTTTTTCACGTCCATGAAGCAGTACGTCGGCTTTCCCGCCCTCTTTCTACCTTGGATGATTCTCCCTACCGTGAACACGTGGTCTACGCACCCCCTCTTCTTGCGGAAACCTGCCTGGNCCGTACTTGGACAGTTGTTTCCACAGCCCATTTCTCCATACGGTATCGTATGCCTTTTTCACGTCCATGAAGCAGTACGTCGGCTTTCCCGCCCTCTTTCTAACTTGGATGATTCTCCCTACCGTGAATACGTGGTCTATGCACCACCTCTTCTTTTGGAAACCTGCCTGGCCCTCACTAATGCTATGTTCCTGCTCCAATACTCCCACTATCCTATCGTCCAGCAGCTTACAGAACAGGAGGGGGTTCATTCAATGCTGCTATTGAGCATGTTACGCTCATAGGTATTTGCGCCGTTTTTCTAGCATGGGTGAGTTTCTACTTGGCATAGGTTCGGGCAAGGCGACCGCCACAGCAGCAGCAGCAGCAGCAGCATCATCATAATCAAGAACAACAACAACAGAATTAGCGTCAACAGCAGTAGCAGCAGCAGCAGCAGCAGCAGCAGCAGCAGCACATCAACACCACAAAGGGCAACAGCAACATCAACAGAGGAGGCAGCGATCACAACGTTGACTTACCTGCAGCAATAGCACGAGAGCATCGTCCACTTCTCCCCTCTCCGCCATGGCCTTGATCGTTTCCTCCATCCTTTCGGGATTTCCCAACGTGAGGATTTTCTGCGTGGCACACCCCGTCCAAAATTAGTCCGTCAGATACAGCACACGCCACTACCCGTACGTGCTGTTCTTGCTGGTGACATTCCTAACCACATCACCGACAACACGTGCTGACCTCTCTATGGTCTTACACGGGAAGAATGTCAAATAGCCGGTGACGTACGTGCGAACAGGCAAGCGTGTGAGTGCGATAGCTCGTTACGTTGCCCTGAACAGCAGTATCCACGAGTATCAGGTGATGGATGGAGGTCAGAATCATCGTGGAAATGTCAAGCAAAAACCGACAACGACGACGTCGCCAGGAGCATTGGCACCATCACCAACAGCAACAACAAGCCCAACAACAACGGCAACGATGTCGCCAAATGGATGACCACATCACGACTCAAAACCCGAAAAAAACAACAACTACCTAACGCACGCTGTTGCGTACTGCTGTAGCTTGTAAAAATACAACAACAAAAAACTACTCCAGTATTGGACTAGCGAATAGACGCTCTACATTTGCTGCGGCTTGCCTGCAACCGCTCGGACGCTTGCGCCATCCTGCGCTGCATGGTGTTGTTGATGCTGTCCCCCAGACGCGTGAGAGGAGTGGCCGCGTCCGTGCCTTCGGCCTCTTGTGCCTGTCCATTGCAATTGCGGTAGCTGTTGTGGCGATCAAGTTTCCTTATACTTGAAAGTTTGCGATAGAAGAGTAGAAGGTGGATTGGTCTTAACATCCCACGCAACAGGAGGACAAAATGATATATTGAAGCAAGGGCACATGCATGTGAATTTAGCTTGCCCTTGAGGAAGGAATACAAGCAAAAAAAAACGTGGCGAAACAAATGAAAAAGACGCTTGGTTGGCATTGTATTGAGAGCAGTATTCGACGAATCACTAGACACACAAACCTCCACGTCATGGTCGGCGAGGGAAGGAAAGGGACACGGCTGAAACCTTATCGTGAGGATAAAATAACCCTTCTCTTGAGGACATAAGAACCCTTCTCATGAGGATAACCTTTCTCTTGAGGATAGAAGAGCCTTTCTGTTGAGGGTTAAAGAACCCTTCTCGTGAGGATAAAAACACGTCGAGTACTTCAGACCGAAGGTGCAGAAAATAAAAACTTGAAGGGCCCTTCCTTTTTGCGTCACCCACAGGTTGGTGTGTCCAAAAACTCGCCGATTCCTGCCGCTCCACGTCTAGAATGAAGCAGATGAAAACGCACACACACGTGTTATGTGAAACGTCCGACCAGTTTCGATACCGTCGGTCCTCTATAATACCCCCCAGCAGCATTGCTGTTCTCGTGGTTGATCCGAGTACAATAAAGTCGTACCAACTAAGAGGTCCTCGGTAGGTGTGCTCCAAAAGGGTACGAACAACAGCAACAGCAGCAGCAGCAGCAGCAGCAGCAGCAGCAGCAGCAGCATACCTTCTGGTTGAGAAGTGTGAGGAACTGGATGTCGATCTGGTCGTAGTTTGTCTCCACTGCCTCTTCCAGACTCTCACCGTCTTCGCGGTTCAAGAGTTTTCCTAGCAAATTCTCGTACCCTGCTCGTACCTGAGGACAGAGCACGGACGACAAAAGCAAATAGGGCCGGTATGATTGTTGGCCTAGGTACTGTAGGCCAGCAGGAAGGAATCGGGATAGAAGGACACGTCCTTGGAAAGCAAGGCAAGCTCTAGCGCACACCTGACACAAGGTTGTGGAGTGGTACACCTGGGACACAAGCAATACGGTGTGAGCATGAATTCAGCTCAAGTACAGTGCAGGTCGGAAAACTTGTAAATGCAAGGCATATTTTAGACGCAAGCTTTATAGTACGAACCGGCAAAGTGTTTAGTGCACCCGGGTGGGACAGGCCACAACCAAGTAACGAAGCCGGCCGTACTTGCACATTTGTAACCACGGAAGCCGTGAACATCAACAAAAGCGGCTGCAGCACATGGCAACAGCAGCAGCACCAACAAACTCACACACCACTGCTGGTCAACACCAGTAGCAGCATCAACACCAGCAATAGCAGTAACAACACCAACACCAGCAGCAACAACACCAACACCACCAGCAACAACACCAACACCACCAGCAACAACAACAATACCACCAGCAACAACCCTCAGAACACCACCAATGTAGGACGGCAGCAGTAGCAACAGCAGCAACAGCAGCAACGACAATAACAACACATCAACAACAACAACAACAACAGCAAGCTCACTTTAGTCGGGAGCCCCTCGAAGGGGTTCATCTGCGCCTCCTTGAGGGCCTCCAGCGCGTCCCCCATGCCCTCGTCGTCTTCGTTCGCCTCCACCCCTAGTCTCTGCAGACGCCGCATCTCTTCCCACACCTGGGCGTTCGAGCGTCGCTCTCCTGCAAAGCGACAACAAGCCGACAGCACAACAGCGGACTGTTACCACCGACAACGAGACGGGAGGAAGACGGGCGGTTGCACACTTCTGACCTCTCCTGCCTCCAAGCAGCGACAAGCCGACAGCAGACTCTTACACCGACAAACAGACGCGAGGACGGGCGGTTGCATCCTTCTGAAGCGTGCATTCTGTGACAACTCTCCTGTCCCGAAGCAGCAACAAGCCGACAGCAGCCTCTACCAGGGGCAAAGGGACGGATGGGGGCGGGTGCATGCCTCTGCGTTGCGTTCTGTGACAAGGCTCTCCTGCCCCACCACCGACAAGCCGACAACAAGCACCCGCTCACCACCGACAAGCAGATGGTTACACACCTCAGACCGTGCCATATTTCTGGGACAACCTTCTACGAGATAAACCACACCAACGTCGTGACGAAAAACCCCTCCTGCAGCCGTCAAGTCAGTCATACCTGGCTCTCCAGTAACTTCCGCATCCACCGCGTTCTCCGCAGCCTCAGCGGCAGCCCTCTCGGCCTCCTCCTCCTCGATCGCCTTGTCCACAAACGCCTTCACCTGGAGACGAAAAAAAAGATCTACTAAGGGAATCGTAGAGCCTAAGCTAACGCTATGGATTTGTTGCCAATTTAAACTTATCCGGGACTTTGTTATCTGCATGTGTGTGTGTTTTTCTTCGCACTTATCTGTGGATAGAGAAGGATTCATTGTGTTGTCTTCAAACTACAAATCGTTCCTGTCTCCACTCATACCTTGTAATGTCCGCACTGGTTCAACAGAGGGGTCTGGGCAAAACAAGACTTGCTGAAAGACGTTCAACACATCCCTTCCTTTCGAGTATTCTCTCGAACGGGCAGTATTTACTGTTGTGTATGCATACATATTTTCTTTCAAACAAAAAAAGAACGTAAAAACCAAAGTACATAAGAGGGGGGGGGGGAAGGGGGGGGTACCG